TAGTAGCCTGACTGTTTTATGCATCTGGTGTGCTTGGTATTATTAGGTCCATCTCTGCCTTGGATATGCCCATCTAATTTCCAAATTTAGCTATTGGGTCATCTCTCTGTTTATGGGTTATGGCCCGTTTATGCCATGGATAAGGCCCATTGCACGCTCAGTTTTTGGCCCACAAGATCTACAACTTATTCTTCATTACTGACTCCTAAACCCTATATTCTCTATTGTCATCATGACTACCTTATAGATCTCGGGTTATTTACATTCACGATGCGTATTTCATTTTTAATGTAATGAGCTTTAAATCCTTTTATGTTTGTTTTTTGAGATTAATCATTCAACAAATCATTTTACCTTGTTCACTTGTAATAAATTGCAGTTAGATTAAAAGGTTAGATGAATATTACCCTTTTTGGATTATATTGATGGAAAATGATTTGCAGCGGTGATATTTGTTTTTTTGAGGTGCCCAAGAACCCCCCCGACAACCCTGTGTTGTTGCAAAACCAAATTTAAAAGGGGTACACATATTTTGGTTTTCCGTATGGGAAAGAAAAAATAAATACTCCCCTTTCATCACGTCGATGTTCCTGAGATTTAGAAGAGGTTTTTGGGTCCGTCCTTTCCTTTTGCCCTTGCCCTCTTTTTTCCTCTTTCCCTCTCTTTTTCTCTCTCTCTCTCTTTTTTTCCCTTCACTTTTTTAATTAAAAGGGGGGTAGGGTTTTTTTTTTTTTTTTTTTTTTTTTTTTTTTTTTTTTTTTTTTTCTGGGGTTGAAAGGGCAGCTTTTATATGGAATTCTAGGTGACTTTGGGCCATTTGATCCCAATATCAATTTTTAACCATCATATTTTTGAGGGTGTTACATCCTTAGTAGAGGTGGTCGTCAGTGACAAATATTTTGCATGCATTATTTATCTAAATTGAGTGAAGTTTAGCGTACATTGGCCTTGATTCTAGATGAGAGTTTTAAGAGGAACTTGGTTAAGTCCTTTGATGATGAAGAGGTCAAATATTAATTTTAGGTTCTTCTCGAGCATTAATACCCAATGCCCCTATCGTTTTGCATCAACTTCTAACTAGCGAGGATCCCTTGACTTTAGTTGGTTGAATTTTGATGTAAATGGGTCTAACCATGCTCGAGTCGAGTTTTGTTTTGATGAAATAATGGATTTAGATTCTCATAGTCATTTGATTCACCGGTATAAATTATGGTAATTAGTACTGTTCTTTAAATATTTACTTATCCTTTTGTAAAATATTGTGTTTTCTCAATTCCGGAAAAAAATCTGCTTCAATTTTATTTGTTGTTGATATACATATATGTATACACCTTTAACAAGTATTTTTAAAATATTCTTCAATTGAATTATTTTTTCTTAAAACTATCACATATTTTGTCAAAAAAAATCATACAGTATATCTATATTTTCTGAGAAAACAGTTACAGGAGAGGATGATGTATAATATAGTAATATATATATATATATGTATCATAGAATAAGTTTGGGAAGTTGTTATATTGTATTAAACGAAAGGAAATAAAAGATATGTGATCCGTCTACATCCATGCCAAGTATGATCTGAGGAAAAATAAAAATACATTAATATATGCCACCCAAACACTGTCTTCATTTACTTTTGAAATACCGAATTCAATTTTGTAAAGTTGTAAGTCACTGTAGGCCACATTTTTTTTCTTTCTATGAAACACTGTAAGCCACATGTTTTTTTAATGAAACAATGTAGGCCCCATTGATATGTATGCTTTTATATGTTACACCCTACATACATATATATATATATATATATGAGCCAGTAATTATATACATGGGTGTGTATATATATGTACATGTATATGTGGATCGGAACAAGAAGAAGGAACAGTGAAATGTTCTTATCATCTTTACCATAAAGAAATCACATTAATAAATGATCTGTTCATCTCATCGTACAGTAACAGTAATAAAAATAATAATAATAATAATAATAATAATAATAATGAGGACTTTGACTTTTCAAAGTTCAGCTTAATTAAATTGTCTTTATGTGGTTTTTTTTTTTTTTTTTATAAATATTTGTTAAAAAAATTAAATTATGATATTAATTAGTGTATATATACATATATCAACTTATTTATATAATATATAACTGCCAGACATTTACATGAACTTTATATATATATATATATTGTCATTCTTTTATTTATTAAAAGCTTAAAAAAAATAAATTAAAAGTAATTCTTGTACTATACTAAAATGAGTTATTGTATTAACATATGTTAATATTTTAATTAGATCAAATATCTAATTTTTAATATTATTTGCGGGTAAAGTTTTTTTGATATTTTAAATTTATTTTTAAAATTTTTATTAAAAATTAATTTTTTTATACATTAAATTTTACTATACCTAACTACCTGACGTGAATATTAATACAATTAAAATATAATTAACAGTAAAATATTAAATTAAAAATTTAAAAAATACACGAACCGAAGCTACGAAATAAAATTAAATTGGCACAAGTACATGTACCATATTTACCAAATATCTCCCGCATGTCAGTGAAATTAAATGTATTATTCAGATACGTGCGCAGAGAAAAAATCAAAGTAAAAAATAAAACTACATTTTGTACGTAATCTACGAGAATGAACTAAAATGGTAACCCCAGTAATTAATTATAAAATAGACATGTAATTAATTATAAATTATCACCTAATTACTATTTTATTATATTTAATTAGTTTTAAAAGCATGTCCTAATACCCTTTTTACGATCACGTAATGTAATTGAAATAAGTAAATAATAAAAGTTAATAATTGGTAAAACTTATATTCATTGTATGCCATAAATAATTTCGACCAAAAACACGAATTTATTCGAAGGAAATAAAAAAATAAACTGATGAAATTTTAAGTTACAGAATTATAAATTTTCATGTTCCAATAATATAAAATTAAACTTGCTGGGACTAATTTATTTATTAAGGTGACAAAATATATTAAACGTAAAATATTATAAATTATGGTATGAAAAATAATTAAAACTAAAAGCCCTTTTGAGCTCTCAGTCCGGTCCAGTTCATAAATAAAGAGAAGAACCGGGCAGCCCAGCCCAAGGTTCTGTCGACGTGAGTAAAGGCGCGGGGTAAAACGGCGTCGTTTTTGCGTTGAGTTAGAAAGCGAAAACGAGAGTAACGATTTGAAGAGGAGAAACGACACCAGCAGAGAAACCTTCTGGAAACGCTCGAAGAAGAATACGAAATCAAACGGTGTTTGGAGGAGAATAGAGGGGGTGTTTGTGAGGTGGAGTGTATGTGATTTGAGTGCGGTAGCTAATTCGTGACTAGGGTTTTGAAAAGGAGACCAAGGGTTTTTCCCTCTGTCTGAACGTCTAGCGGAGGAGAGGAGAGGAGGCTTTTGCTTGGCTTTGGTGGAGACGAGGAGTAACGACAGAGAGCCTCTCTGTTCTTCTATCCGTGTACAACAGGACAGAAGACAGAGGAGCTCGAAAAGGTGATTTTTTCTTTTTCGTTTTGCTGGGCTTCTGGGGCTTTAGTTGAGAGGGTGTAATATTTGAGCGCGAGGGGAAGAATCTTAGGAATTCAAAGCGATTTATGGGCTCTGATTTTTTTTTTGTTTTAGCAGAGAGAATAGTGTTCTTGGAGAGAAATTCAGTAGAGGTCCCTTTTAACAGAGAAGCACTACTGAAGGAATTGATTGCAGTGAACTATTGCGCATAGGTGAGAGTCTGTTCTCATATGAAGTGCTCTTGTCGTGTAATCTTTTTGGAAGATTATATTTGTTGAAGATCGATTAAGGGATGATCAGAAAATGCTACGTGTTTGATTTGTGACTGAATCTCCATACATGCATGATCCTTTTTTTTTTTGTTCCAGCTTCCAACTATAAAGTAATTTATTTTCTTCCTCCCATTTATTTTATCAAAGTTTTGTTAGGAATCATAAAAATTGTGGTTCCAATCCTTTTTCGTCTAGTTAAAAGGAGTGGTAAGTAGAGGACTGTTAAAAGCCTTTTGTATTTGCTTCATGGGTGATTGCCAACTTTGTTTGGATAATTTGTTAGTAAGCTATAGGATGAAAAAGACGAATGGTATATGAAGGTTCTGGGGCCTTGTGTGAGCTGTTTGAGCACATCATGGATGAAATCTTAAAGTACAAATATACGGTCAGCTTGGATTTTTAAAATATTTGTACTCTTGGCGGTTTTGTTTTTCGTTGGTTGAAAAAAATTGGAAGAGAGACTTCTTCATGGTCTAACTAGGCTCTACTTTTATAAAGACTTTTTCTTTTAAGCTTTGCAATTGAGATTTAAGCATCATGTGATTGAACAGTTAATGAAAAACTAGGTCTGATTGGGATGAGAAAACAGAGATTTTAAAGGGGTTCTAGAATTGCTTTTGTTTCTGGCCCTGCTCATTCTTTTCCTTGGCTCGTCTCCATCGCGAACTGGTTTTGTTTTGGGCATGTAGAATCTTATTTTCTGTTACATCACTTAGTTTATTCATTAATGTTTCCCTCTTTTTCTCTTCATATTTTTATGCAGCATATTATGTCCATTATTTAGAGGATGTAAAATATCTGTTTTCTTGTCTTGATTAACGTGCTATTTTGCCTCTGTTTGTTTCTCATTTTGTCCTTTAATTTATGCAGCATATTAGGTCCCTGATAGGTTTAATTGTTTATAATCCATACAAGAGAGATGGGGTAAAAGGTGTTAAAATGGAAATGGAATTACCTAGATTGATGATAAATTAAGCTGCATATTATTTTTATGATATATATATATTCTGCTTATGTACAAATTAAAAGTCCTAGATAAGAAATAATAAAGAAAACGTAAATGCACCAACCACACATGAAAAATAATTATGGTCCTCAAAAGTAATAACAAACAGTATCTCAATAATGACTTCACTGTCATAACCATTCATCATCAACTGCTATTCAAATAAACTTATAACATAGGATGGGTTCCTCATCGGTGATTAAAGTTCATGTATGTTTGGTTTGAAAGGAGAGGAATGCGAGAGCATTTGAGGGTATAGGGACTAATTTAAAAAAAATTAGAAATAGATGGATTCATACTTTTGGCTTGGGTCATGACATCAAGATTTGGAAGACTTTGGTATAGTTGTGGATCACTTGATTGACTTGTAAATATTTTGTATTTGGGTGGTACTCCCTTGGTACTCTGTGCATAATAATATTTTTCTTTTATTTCAAAAAAAAAGTTCATGTCTGTTTGGTGTATTTGTATTTTTTTAGATTATTCTGAGCTAGGACTTTTAGATTTTACGAAAGCAGAAAACATATAGCCTTATAATGCAGGATGGGTGCTTTATCCTTCCTGTCTTCGAGCATTTTTTAGACTCATGTTTTGGGTGACCGATTGCCCCTCAAAGGGCCAGTAAGCCTTTTGCTTTGAGTGTTTTCTGGGGTGCCTCGGCCTCACTTTTGTGAGTTGTGACAGCGATCTCTCTGTAGAAGGTGTTCATTGGAAAGAAATACAACTAGCAAGAACACAGAGTAGATTTATTCAATTGATCTTTGCCTGGGTTTTCTCAACAAGGTAGCAAGAATTTAGAGTCTTTGTTCCTGGGTTGCTAACATACTCTTTCTGATTGCTCGTTATAGAGTTACGTTGGCTGTTTTAGAAAATGGTGTGGTGCAGTAGCTGTGCGAGAAATGTGCCCGGTTATCGTCCATTTGATGGTGAATTGTGAGTATATTTGATAAGTCAGTTGTGTGAAATTAATTAATCATTTCCTTCTTTTTGTTGATTTACTTGTTCTATTCTCTTAAATTGTAGGTCATGTGATATTTGTGGGAGGGTGTTGGAAGATTTCAATTTCTCAACTGAAGCCACTTTCGTTAAGAATGCAGCAGGGCAGGTAGAATGTTGTAGCAATTCTAATTTTATTCAAAGAACAAATGGTTTATACTGTATTACGACTGCCCACTGATCTTACATGGACACATACAACCCCTAGTTGTCAATTTTGATGTATGTATATTTGTGTATTTATATTTACATTTATGTTTTAGTATGTTTATGCTCTGCTTTGATTGTTGATCATGCATCTGTTTATGAATTTGATGTGCTCAGAATTTCTTTTTGTTTCCAGAGTCAATTATCGGGGAATATTGTGAGGACTAGGCAAAATGACATCTCAGCTTCACGGGAAAGGACACTGAGAAGATGTATGATGTTTTTGTTTTTCTTCTGTGGTCTCTAGGCAACACAAAACACACCCATCTGATGCATTAATTAGGATAATAGCTGATTCTTAAGTGCGAAAGTAGCTGATTTACTATGCTTGATAATTGGCTTAGCTTATTTGTTAGATTGGTGTTTGTTATTGTTGAGTCTACCTCATATTGCAATTGAATATTATTATGCTGAATACTAGTAGGTGAGACAGGCCTTAGACCAAATCTTGGATGCTCAACTGTGTCGTACATACAAAATATGCAACTTGTCATCATTTGTAACACACAACATGTTGGTATTTGAGAGAGACACTTTCTTAGCATATATATGCTTGCATGTATTTGCTAGAGGTTATTTAGTAATTGCTTTCTTGTAACAAAATTTTCGTTAGATGTCAATATTTGTTATCTAGTACCTTGCTTAGCATGTGAATTTCCTAGGTGCTAATATCTTCTTATGTTGCAGCTCGAGAAGAAATGACAAATATGAAAAATGGCATGGGAATTGGTGATGAACGAGACGACGTGGTTGACATGGCTAATCGAATTTATGGAGTAAGTCTTTGGCATCTAACTATTATTATTAGTCTTAAATCTTCTCTGCTAGCTGCTGAACTCTTATAATTTTCTTGTGAAGCTCGCGGTTGAACGGAATTTCACCAGGGGGCGTAAAGCAGAGCAAGTACAGGCTTCTTGTCTTTACTTTGCATGCCGGTAAGTAATTTCTTCTGTTTTAAGCTCAGTATTGTGATTCTTAGAGATGTAATCTTTGTTCTAAAGCATGCATGTAGTAGAGTTGTTCATGTTCACTATGTTGGGCCATACTTGCTAACAAAAATTATAATTTAGAGCTTTCTTACAGAATGCCGTTATTTAATTTACATCTTTGCCCCTCCTCTCTGTATCACACTCCTCCACTTTGTTTTTCAATAGAGGTTTGTTACTTTCCACATAATTCAGTTATAGGGTTGGACATACACTTTTTGGCTATATTTCGGATTTGAGTTGGGTGGGGTAGGGTAGGGTAAATTACTCATGGATAAGATTCTTAATCTACGATATTATTGGAAAGAGTTTGGTAGTAATTTGTATGGGTTATGTGTGAAATTAAAGGACTACATCACCCTTGCAATTTATTTTCTAAATATCATTGATTAATTTGAATATAGTATATAGTTATTCAAAATCTTATTTTTGTTAAGTATAGGTAAAACAAAAACGGTGGAACAATTACGATATAGTAAGAGAAAATCCATAAAAAATCCAATTACAAATAGCTAGAACTAAAATCCCATTAGAAATTCAATTACAATCTGGTATAACAAAGCCTGCTAAAAATTCAAAAAACAAGCAACATACAATGCTTCATTGGAGAGAAGAGCTTTTCACTTTTGAAAACACCACTAATTCCAGATTAGAGAGAAGAAGAAAAAGAGGTATTCTCTTCTGCAAATCTTGACTCATTCCAAATGAAGAGAAGAAGAAGAGTTTTTTTCAATTTTGCAAACTGTTTCATGTTCTAGATCAAAGAGGAGAAGAAAGCAAAGTAGAGCTTTCTTATCAAATTGCACGCCGTCCAGATTGGAGAGAAGAAGAGAAGTTGCAGATAAATGTTGAAGGGAAGATGAAGTTATCAAGAAGTAAGGGGTGAAGATGAATAAGAAGAAAAGGTCCCATCTGGTAACATTCAATTTTTTGATAAAAAAGTTAAGAAAAATAACGTATAGAAAATGGAAGGTCAATCTGTGGTGTGGAGCTACCTTCACTGGCATGTGGGTTTTTTGATTGGAATGCCATTTCAGAATATTTTGGAATGTGACACCTGCTCTGGTTCTTTGGATAAAGTTTTTCTTTTTGGCTTCTCGTCCCGTTCTGGTCATAGAAAATGATATTAAGCCTCCTGTTCATCTTTTGTTGTTCTTTGAAATTTAAGAGGGTATTTGACATTATTTTTTGCTGTTTATAAGCAGCTTTAATGATTAGGCTCCAGTATTCAACTTTAGTAACATAAAGTATAGGTTTCTCAAAAGTGGAATTTAAGAAGGTACAAAATAAGTGTTATAGTATTATGTTCTTATTTAAAAAAAAATAATTTTTATGGTCTTGTTTTTTTAGCTAACCAATTTACTTTATTACTCTCTTGACATATTATTAAGATTTAACAATATGTATGACAAAATAGGTAGTAACGTATTTGTAATATGTATACATATCCTTCATTAAATTTTTTTCACTAAAAACAATTGCTTATTTTTTCTTTTTTGCAATTAGCACTTTTTCCAAACGCATAAATGTTTATCTTTTAAACACAATTTATCTGTATTAAATATATTAAAGTTTATTATTGCTTTAAGCATTCTCCCTCAACAATCCCAAACAACCTCTAAATTATTTTTCTTTCTGAAATACATTTGTCCTTGTTCTTGTGAAAAAAATGCAGAAATATTTAGATTTCTTCTTAGTTTCCCCTTTCAACAGGTTTGTATAGAGACAGTTCTCACAATCGTTTAGTAGCTAGTTAAGATACTTTTTTTAAGATTCTGTAAGTGCACATTGATTTTTTGAAACAAAAATCTTATTTTCGGTTATATGTTGTTTGAGTGTCACTGGAATCAATGTTGACACATGGTGGCAATGGAGAGTCAAAATGGGTATGCCATGTACTATGGTCGTAAATGGTTGTTTAGATGTATTATTCATTATGTTAATGTAATATTGACAAACATTATCTTTAGCAGTAACTTTTCCAGTACACCTCTCTTTAATCTTATCCGTTGCTCTTATCGTATTTTTTTCATTCAATCCTTTGTCTTTTATTCCTTGTGCAGGGAGAAGAATATGCCATTTCTCCTTATTGATTTTTCAAATTACTTGAGTATAAATGTGTAAGGAAACATTATTTCTTCTTTCATCTTCACTATTGTTTCATGGTTGTTTAAATGCTGATTTTCCTCTTAGCATCAGAGGTTGTAGTGCATTATTGGTTTTGTCTATATTGGTTTGCAGTTATGAGCTAGGGGCTGTATACTTGCAGCTGTGTGAGCTGTTGTATGTGGCAGAAAACAAGAACTTTGATAAATTAGTTGATCCTTCCATTTTCATACCTAAATTCACAAATAGTAAGTTTTTAAAATTGATTGTATCTCCTCTAACTTCTTTTTTTTTTTCTTTTTGTGGAGCATCTTCACTAGTTCTTATTTATGAACATTAATTCTTTGAAGTTGTAGCCTTGATATCTTACAAACATGTTTGATAGGTTTATTAGCGGGAGGGAATAAGACAGTTGTTAGAACTGCACGAGATATTATAGCTAGCATGAAGCGGGATTGGATGCAGGTGTGATATCCTTTCTTATATTATATTGTGATATGGGTTCTATTGACTGTTTTAGTTATTTATCTTGAAAGTCAATATAAAATCCTTTTGTATTTTCACAGACAGGAAGGAAACCTAGTGGAATATGCGGTGCAGCACTGTACATAGCTGCACTTTCTCATGGTCTCAAGTGTTCAAAGTTAGACATTGTAAGTGAAGCTTCAGATCTATGTTGTTTTGTTGAGATAAGATTTACTCATAAAAGTCTAATCTTCATATTGCTTCTTAATTTTTACCAAAATTGGTATTTTGTTATAGCTTGTTATGAAAAAAGAAAATAAAATAGATATTGAAGTACTATGGAATGCTTTCTTGTAGCCTGTGATACTAAAATAAGTTTAATGGAGGACAAAGTTAACAATCATTGCTTGATCTGGGTCCCATTCTTTCCCTGCCTGACGTGATGGTTTATGGAGTGTTAGATGGGTGCTTATAGAGAGAAAAAAATTTGTTCATGATCTTGGCATGTCAGGTTTAGAGGACATGCTATGAGGCTCCTTGATGTTTAGTGAAAATAATACTATTGTTTTTTTTTTTTTTTGAGATAAGCCAACCAAAGTTTCTTGGGCACCTCTACCTTGTGCTAGGTATGGTTTTAAACGGGTGATCATAGGGCAAGGTTGTTTGTTAAATTTTGTGGCAGATAGAGCCACTGTTCTGAAGTTCCTGCATTTTGGTGAAAGTAATTTCTATTATTACAACGTAGTTTACCACCTATTATTTCTTGAATATTTTATCTCGTGCTGGGTGAAGAAAAATTCATAAAAAATATGTTTAGTTTCTTCAAAGATTTGATCCCTTTCTGGGCAAATGGATTAATGAATTCTGTTATTTTAAAAATGGGGTGTAACATGAGGCATTTGATCACTTTCCCAGAAAATGGGTTGTAGTCTTAAAAAGGGTGGGATAACGTTAAGCATTTAATCATTTCTCTGAAAGGGGAATGTAGTCTTAAAAAGGTGGGATAACAATAAGTGTCAGATTTAAATTTTTTTCTACCCAAAGGAAAAATAATCAGGAAAAAGGACCTATTAGTCTAAGAAAAAGAAATTTGAAGTGTTGACTTGCAAGGGTGATGCCCTATTTGATTTTTCAATTGAAAGTTTGTTGTATGATTCATGATCAAGATTTAAGCTAGTATTCCAATTTTCTCCATTAAATGTCTTGTTTACTTCTGTTTCATGTGTATTATGATGACCTTAGGTAAAGATTGTGCATATTTGTGAAGCAACATTGACAAAACGGTTGGTCGAATTTGAGAATACAGAGTCTGGGAGCTTGACGGTAAATTTCTTGCTCGGTGGCTGTCTTAGTAATTTGCATTAGAAGGCTTTTAATTGGAGTTTTTGAAACATTATCTGCTAATAGCTTTTAGGGCCCTGTATATTGACCTTAAGGAATGATATAAAATATTAGCAATTTACTAAAACTCCTCCTTATTACTTCTTTGGTGGGGGTGAGAGGTCTGGTGTTGTAATAGTTTATTTAAAGTGGCATTTCTTACAAAGGTAAAAAAAGGAAATCATTATTAAAAATTGTGCTTTTGCATCTTGTTCCATGTGCTCTATGTACCTAGGTTGAGGAATTCATGGAGAAGGCGAAGGAATATAAGAAGGGTTCTTCAACAAAACAACAAAGTACAAATGGGGTGCTCTGTAAGCATCAGGATCACAAACCTTTTGCTTATGGATTGTGTCAGAGTTGTTATGATGATGTAAGCTCTCATGTCTTTTTTCATCTCTCTCTCGCTCTCTCTCTCTCTCTTATTTTTGCCTTCTATTGTCTCTCTGTCATTATCACAGAACACTGGTTGGATTATTGTGAAAGCAGAACATTAACTGGTTGGTGCAGTTTATGACAGTTTCAGGAGGACTTGAAGGGGGGGCAGATCCTCCAGCTTTCCAGCGTGCAGAAAGAGAGAGACTTGCTAATGAATCTGCAGAAGCGAATGCTAATGGAGGTTTAGCTGACACACTATTGCAGGAGCTAAGCAACAACAAAAAATCAAATGTACATTTTTAATGTTTACTTCCTATATTTATATTTTTATATTAATTCTGTAGTTTGTCAATTTTCAGTTTTAATTTTTATTTCACACCTGAAACTTCTTTATTAGAGCTATTAAATCTCCAAGAGTATAATAGTAATCCTGTTCTTTACCATGATTTAAAATGTCGTTTTTTGTGTTGATAGTTGGATGAAGAAAGTAGCAGCCCGATCATCGGAGAAGACAAAAATTTACCATCTCTGGACCCCAGTATATTGGTCTTTTCTGTGTCTCATTTTTCATATGTTTGATTCATGGCATGATGTTTCCTTTCATTTGCTCCAAAGTTATCTGATTTGCGGCATGTTGCTTCGTGTCATCTGTCTAAATTTTCAAATCTTTTCGTCAAAGTGTAATATGTAAGTGCTTTCAGGCGCTGCAAAGCAAACGATGGCCAATGAGCATGTTGATGATAAACCTACTGGAGTTGATGGCAACCCTGAAACTTTGGATGAATCAGACAGCTTTTCTGACATTGATGATGTTGAGGTTTGCAATGTGCTCTATAATGTGCAATTTTTAGCATTGCCTGTACTTAATGGTTAACGTAAACAAGATGAGTTATAGAGAATAGCTTTTGGAAAAAAAATTATTTTCAGAAGCCAATAGCCAAATTAATTGCAATCTTGATTGTTGAGTTCATTCATATATTCCAAAAGAATGCTTCCAGAAAAGAAGGCTTTTATGTATGGTTTACTTTTTCTTTCATTAAATGCTTCATCTTATGGTGAGATTTCTTTGCTAGCTGAGGAATTCTATTCATTAGTAGCAGCATTCTTCTTTACTATTTGTGTCTTCTCTGTTTTCACTGATATTTTCCTTATTATTTCACATAGTCCAATGGTATTTGTAATCTCAAGATTGTAAGTGGTTGCTGTTGGTAGTTTTATGAATTGTGTTCTAGAAGTTCAGTCGCCACAGGGCTTTCTGAAACATTTGCATGATCTCGAATTGATACTTTTTATTGTCCTTTATTTTGGACAAAAAAAGAAATATTATTAAGAAAAGAAGATAAAGTACAATGAAGGATAAGACATCCTGCCAGTGTTTCAACCTATAGGGAGCAAAAGAAATTATGAGGATATATAATACAAAACAAACTTAAGAGCCAAAAATAATAATCTCCCAGTTCCGGTGTAAACCCGATGTAGCTAGTTCTGAGAATTTTCCATGCGCCTTGATCCATAAGGAGGCTGTCTCATGAGCCGTTTCCCAAAATTATTTGAGATAGCCCAGTCTAGAAATATTGTTGTCAAGGAGGCGTATAGGGAGCTCAATGACACCAGATGTTGGGAAGTGAATGTTTGCAGAAATTTGAACGATTGGGAAATCCAGGATTACCAGAATTTGCTGTGTATTCTGGAAGTGCAGAAACTGAACAACTCTGCTGACTGTTTGATATGGAGGCTGACTCGGAATGGGGTTTTTTCTGTTAAGTCTTATTACTGCTACATCGAGGGTGAAGGGGGTGACAGAATATGTAACTTTCCAGCAAAACAGATTTGGAATTCTAGAGTTACTCCTAGGATTGGTTTCTTTGCATGGGAGGCAGCAAGGGATGTATTTTGACGCAAGATAAATTAGTCTCGAGGGGTCATTTTATTGTCAACAGGTGTTACATGTGTTTGTCAGCTGAGGAGACCTGTAATCATCTTCTTTTGTGGTGTCCTGTGGCTTATGAACTATGGAGTATGATGTATGGGCTTCTGAGGCTAAATTGGGTGGTGGCTAGTTCTGTCAAAGAAGAAATATGGGCATGGAGTGGGTTCAGGCTTGAAAATGATTGCAACAATTTGATTCTTCTCACGTTAATGTGGATCATCTGGAAAGAGAGAAACCTTAGAGTTTTTTAGGGAAGGGAAACTCTGGTGAATAGATTGAGAGATAGGTGGTTTCATTTTTTTGGGAATATATTATTGAGGCGTGATATGATGAGTGGAGTAGATTTTGGGGTTGTCATTGATACCCTCACTAGAATGTAAATTTACTGTATATGGGCAGTACCCCCTTTTGGTACTTTGTTTATAATACTAGATTAACACTTTTTATTTAAAAAAAAAAAGATTTGTTATTCACTCTATGATTAATTATTCCAACAAATTAAGTTTCACACTCTTCGTCCATGTAAATAACTACTAGTTGGGAAATTAGGATTGATGGAGATGTATGTATAAAGGATGTGACAGTTTTTTGTTGGTGCAAGGCGTGACACTAGTTTAGAAAGCATTTTACGTAAAAATTGATGTCAGGTATCAGGTTATATATATATATATATATAGTTTCATATAGAAATTGTCCTGATAAGGTCCAATTTAAACGTCAGCCCTAGTTTGACATATTGATAGAATTATATGGTTTTTTTGTGCAACCTACCCTTATATATGGTGTAATTATCCTTCCCTTAAGTTCACCATTTTTTCTTGACTACTAGTATCTATCTCCAGTTCACAGAGATCTTTAGTGGTAGGCTTCCTGGTGGCTCTATGAACTGTAACATCATTTATATATTATTATATCCTAACCATTTATATGTTTGGTAAATCAACATCACAAGTGAACTTTAGATATGACGGAGGTTGTAGGCTTCCTGGTGGCTCTATGAACTGTGACATCATTTATATATTATTGTATCCAAACCGTTATATTTTGGTAATCAACATCACAAGTGAACTCTTGATATGACAGAGGTGGTAATCAAATAATCGTTCTTAAGAGCTCAATTACAAATTTAGTTTTTTTCTCTTATCTTATTTTTAGGAAGTGTTTTCCCATATTATCAATTCTTATAGACCTTTCCAGAGTGACATTTGCTATTACTACTTCTCTGTCTTCTTTCTGGATATTTTTCATGGACCAAGATCGTAATTTTGAAGCTCTTGCAGTTTCTAGCAAAAGAAGTTGCATAACCCTTTGAATTTTAGTTTCTGTTCGCTTTCTGGATATCCATCTGGTTTCCTACTGTAACTCCTACTTCAACTATTTATATATTAATTTATCAGTTCAAGTTATGCACCTTAATTTTTCTTTGTTTCCACTTGTTATGTTAAGATATTTATAATGCTACTTGTAATACAGGTCGATGGCTATCTTCACAATGAGGAGGAAAAACATTACAAGAAGATAATTTGGGAACAAATGAACCGCGAGTATCTTGAGGTGATAAGGAAATCTTCTTTAAGAGAGTCTCATTAAGCCTATTTCCCTCTCATCTTATTTTAATTGTGGCTCATTAAGCATGGTATTACATACTTTTATGCTCAGCTGAAAAATATATTATCATGGTATGAAATATAATTAAAGTTACTATTTTAAATACATTATTTTTGGTAAAAACTTCTGGAATTAATGTGCATCTAATTCGATTTTTTCTTTGAGTAAAATCTGTCTTTGGTCATATTAGCCAACATTTTCTTGGCATTTATAAGATACTGATATACACTTATTCTGATGTTTGCTAGAACTTAACATTTTTTCTTTTAATCTTTACAGGAACAGGCAGCCAAGGAAGCGGCCGTAGCAGCTGCTAAAGAAGCTTTGAAGGCTAATTATGAAAACTGTCCAGGAGACTATGAAGCTGCAAGGAAGCTTGCTGAAGCTACAGCAGCAGCTTTGGCAAAATCTAGAAAGGTACATCTCAACATGTCTATAGAAGTAAATAATTTTATGATGTCTAATTATGAGAAGATTAGTCTTTTCCAAAAAAGTAAACTTTTCTTTTCTTTTTTCTTCTCATAAAAGAATAAATATTATTTAAAAGTGAGAAAACTGCTACAATCAGGATGGAAATGATGGGTTTTCCATTTCTCCAGCAAAAACAAGAAAAGAAAAAGAAACGATGAAAGCACATCAAGACAAGATAGCATAGTTAAATTCAAGGTCCTTTCAGAACAAAATTAGTTGATCAGATGACATCAATTTCTTTTGGATATTTTCTCATTTTTAAAAAAAAAATCATCAAACATTTTATATCCTTCAATGCATATTGGTTGCAATTTTCATACATGAATTAGCCTTTTAGACCTGCATCTCTTTGATTAGATAATGGGTTATGTGAATTCCTTTCTGGCTGTCAATTATAAATGTCTGCAATCTGGAAGTGCCATAGGAACTTAAAATTGTTCTTGTTTTATCAGAGGATTTTGAACCGGCCTCAGGGATATACAGCTGTAATTGCTTTCAGAACTTATAATTCCCTTCCTACAATCTTATAAATATCAGATTTCACTGCATAACTCTGGCTGATCAATCAATTCATTTGATATTGTGGTTGTGTACATTTACTTTGGACCAGATTCTGTTCTTTTCTTTTCATCTGTCTCTTTCCAAAACCCGGATTATTGATTTGTTAATAGCAAAATGATAATACATATGTAAACTATTCCACCCAAATGGAGACTGTAATTTCTTCCCTTTTCCTACTTCAGTATTCTACTTATTATCAGAAACATGTTTGCTGTTAATGAGAAAAGAAAGAGAATTGTGGGGAAATAGAGAATTGTAACAAGGAAACTGAAAGCTATGCATGCAATTGGAGTCGCCCCTTACTAATTGTCCAATAACAATCCATTTCCTCAATTACATCAACTAGCATGACTTGATGAATGTGCTATTTATATGAACTTGACAATGATCATGTTGCTGCCTCCATCTCACCTTTGAAATTTTGCATTCATGTGAACATGTCCTTTTGAGATTTAGCCCACAAAATAAACCTATTACTAGGGTAAAACTAGGACTAAGTTCCCTCTAACTCAAGCTCTCCAGGAGAAAATATGGAGCCTAAATCAAAGCAAGTAAGAGAAACTTGAGACATTACGGGATATTACTCTTGTCTTTGGTACTTGTCCTTAATTTTTGTTTGGCTGCAGTTGCATTTTATTTTAACATATCTCCATGAATCTATCGAACATACTGTTGCTTTATATTGCTTACAGGCTTACATTGAATCAATCATTAATCAGTTACAAGTTTCAATTGTGCAATATATTTTTTAGCTGTCGGTTTGTTAATTATTTCTTCTTTGGTTAAAAAAAAATTGAAAACAGTTGTCCAATATTTGTGGGATTCCTTTATCTGTGATACTGAAGGGATTGGGATGCTGTTTTGCATTGATATAGCTTGTTATCCTTTTGTTTTTTTTTTATTTTTTATCCTTTTTCTCTTGTTCAGAAGAAAGCTTATTCTCCTCTAGATTGTGACCTTTATCCTAATTCTAATATACATTTTCTTTTATAAAAAAGAAATATTTGCAGACACAAATTACTGGTTCTCAAGTTTTACTACATCCACAATTTGATTTCTTGTGTGATTTTTTTTTTAATAAAAAATTGTAGGAAAGGCAACAAAAACGAGCTGCAGAAGCGAAAAATACTGCCCGTGCTCAAACTGCTGCAGAAGCCACCCGCCAGATGCTGTCTAAGAAGGTATTACGCCATACAAATACAAAAACTTTCTCTTTGATTGATCTGGATTGCAGACAATAGAATTTTGTCAAATTAAAGCATGGTTGGGAGTCCATGCCAGTGTTTTCTAGAACTTCTACTGATAGAAAAGGTTGTCAAAAGTTAGGGTTAGCAAAATAGATATTTCATCTGTTGATGGAAAATCACAAGATTTTCCAGATTGGATTAAAGTTTATGCAGAATAGGTTAGCACTAGATTTACTAATAAATAAGAAATTGTAACTATATTAATGTAAAACAACTATACTATTTTGGAGTCTGTTATTAGATTATTTAGGAGTATTATTGTAATTTTAGTAACTTACAATTTTTATTCTTATTTGCATTAGGATAGTATTTCTAATATTGTTGGTATTAGTTTCTTATTCTTAGTAATATAAGTATACTATATTATTATTTCCTAGTTTAATTCTAAGAGGCAGTGGGGACTATTTGGCAGGCGTTCTTGGGTGCAAAGTTGTGCAACTGCCAATTAAGTACTTGGGGATATCTTTAGGCGCTAAATTCAAAGATTTGAACACTTGGGATACTGCGATTAAGTTATTTAAGAGGAGACTTGCGGGGTGGAAAGGGAATTTTCTTTCTAAAGGTAGAAGATTAACTCTTATCAAAAGTACTCTTATCAGCCTACCTAGCTATATTTTATTGGTATTAAACATTCCTGTGAAGATTGCCAAGAAGTTGGAGAATATCCAATGTCACTTTCTATGGAGGGATGATGAAAGGAGTAGAAAATATCACTTGGTTAATTGGGATGATGTGAAGAATCCTTTCAACAAGATTGGTCTAGGGCTTAGATCATTGGTCGACCTGAATCGAGCTTTATAGGGGAAGTGGTTATGGAGATATTTATTGGAGGAGGGAAGGTTGTGGTGTAGGGTCCTTAGGCCAAGGTGGGGAGCATTGGATGGGAGGGGTAACAATAGGACTTTGGTACATCCTCATGGCTTGGGTTTGTGGGGGAAGATTGGCTCGGACAGTGTTCGGTTTTCAGATTGTATTCAGTGGAAGCTTGGGAGAGGTAATTGTATTCACTTTTCGGATGATGACGGGAGTGGGAGGGGTACCCTTAGGAATCTATTCCCTAGTATTTATGCTTTAGCCACTAGGAAGAATGTGGTGGTGGAGGAGCCCTATAGCGGGGAGGATGGGAAGAGTGGGTGGAACATTATCTTGGTGAGGAACCTAAATGACTGGGAAAGTGATGAGTTTATGACACTTCTTCAGGTATTGGCCAATGTACAGTTACACGATACTATGGATAAGGTCGTGTGGAAATTGAAAAAAGATGACAAGTTTACAGTCAAGTCGTTCTATGAACATTTGGTTAAGAGGGATGGAGATGGTGGGAGATTTCCGGCTATGCAGATTTGGAAAGTGAAGGCTCTCCCGCAAATCGTGTTTTTTGCCTGCGAAGCCAGTCAGGAATGCATTCTGACTATCGACAAGTTAATGAGAAGGGGCCTCACTATAGTTAATAGATGCTATTTGTGTAAAGAAGCAGTTGAATCATGCAATCATATCCTTCTTTGGTGTCCGGTGGCATATAGTTTATGGCATCTGGTCTATGGGTTAATGGACATCAATTGGGTAATTGCAGGAAGGGTTAAGGATGAGCTTTGGGTTTGGGATGAGATTTTTATTTCGAATTGCATGAAATTCAGGGAGCAGAAGCCAAAATTTTTAGCAGATTCATCCCAGTCAAGGTTAAAAATAACTGCTCATAGATAGTTTAAAGGATAAAGGGAGTAAGAAGAGAGAAAAAGTAGAGGTCACTTTCAGAAAGAAAGGAAAAGGGAAAAAGGAAACAGGTTGAGATAAGTGTATTTGGATATTTTTTATAATTTTCCAGGTAGAGAAGTGTAATTTCACCTTTCAAGATTTATAGTATTCCTTTCTCTTTACAAAATCCGAAAATGGGAAGAAGAACAGGAGTAGAGATCTAGCTGTGCTCATCCAAGATGGAACTGTCCCACTTCATTCCTGTATTCAGTTCCTTATTTTCTTGCCGTGCATGTAAATGCATTACTCCATAAAAAATAATCTCCATTGAGGTTTTGTATTCTCTTATGAATGGTTGTCTTGAATCTTAATTTCCCTGAATATAGATATGTCTATTCCATTATTGATTACAGAATCCTAGGTGCGGAGCTTGCCAGGTATTTCCAATATGGTTAATTCTTTTGGTTGGATTATCATCCTTCTCCCTTGTTGGCTTCGACTGAGCCATAAGTTGGTGACTTGGCTGTACTACTTGATGCAATGGCCTCATCCTGGGGCAACTAGTTGAGGCATATTTGTATTTAGTTATCCGGGCCCAAGTTACACTAAATGTTATCAATTTTGGTGATGCATGGTACATGTGTGTGTTAATATAGTGTATGCAGAATGACATTAATTTCTTATTTCTGCTATATTGATGTGTATAATATGGTTTCCTTGCAG